GTCGTTCCCGTGCTGACGGCGTATATGTGTGTGTGTGTGTGTGTGTGTGTGTCGGCCGCCCAGGGCTGCAGCTCTGAACAGAAGTAAATAAAAGTGAGCCCCGCCTTCCAAACCTCCACCCTGGGAGAGAAATGTTTCAGTTCGGTTTTGTGAGGCGCTGGGTTTTGGTGTTTTTAAACACATCGAGCATGATTAGAAACTGAAAGTAAGGTACCACCAGCCTGTGCCTGAGGCTGGGCCGGTTGCTGGTCTGCTGGAAATGGGCGCCTAAGGTGCATTTTACTTTTAGAGGGAAAGTAACTATTTTCAGAGGGAAAGTAACTATTTTTGCAAACAAACTATTCAGCCGGAATGAAACAAACTATTCAGCCGGAATGAGGCTGTTACATTGTTGCAAATCTACCCATTGCAACAGGACGGGAAGGTGTGCCTTTTATTTTATTATTATTATTATTGTTATTTTGTCAATCCTTACCCAAGGACATTTTTTTTATTGATTTTTAGAAAGAGTGCAAGGGAGAGAGACATTGATGGAAGAGAGACATAGCCATTGGTTGCCTCCCGCACGCATCTCGAGCGGGGTTGGCGATCAAACCTGCAACCCAGGTACGTGCCCTTGACTGGGAATCGAACCCGTGACCCNACATCTCGAGCGGGGTTGGCGATCGAACCTGCAACCCAGGTATGTGCCCTTGACTGGGAATCGAAGCCGTGACCCTTAGACGACAGGGCCCATGCTCCAACCACTAGGCCACACCGGCCAAGGCTGTGCCTCTTATTTTATTTAAAAATATATATATATGTTTNTTAGATGACAGGGCCCATGCTCCAACCACTAGGCCACACCGGCCAAGGCTGTGCCTCTTATTTTATTTAAAAATATATATATATGTTTTATTGAGGTGACATTGGTTAATAACACTCTATAAATTTCAGGGGTTGCAATATTACAGTTCGATATCTGTCTACTGTATTGCGTGCTCACCACCCAAAAGCTAGTTTCTAACCCGGTACCATGTATTTGACTTCGATTTAATCCAAGTTTTCCTCCCTCCGACCCCTTTCCCTGCCATTCTGTAGTCTGTAGCTGCATGTTAAATTTGCCGCTTTTAAATCGGATTCCCTTGTAAAAACCGTGAACGCTGTGGGTCCTGACCGGTCCTGCTCACCTGCGTGGGAGCCCCCAAATGAGCCTCACCCTCCAAACCTCCACCCGGGGAGAGAAATCATTAAATTTGAGCAGGGTCAACTTAAAAGAATTACCTTGTCCTGGCCGCTGTGGTTCAGTGGTTAGAGCTTCTGTGCGCCCCTCGCACTGCAGGGTCTCAGGTTCAATTCCCTGTCAAGGGCACGTACCTGAGTTGCAGATTCAATCCCTACCCGCATCAGGGGACATGTGGGAGGCAACCAATCGATGTTTCTCTCTCTCTCTTTCCCACTCTCTCTGAAAAAAAGCAATGGAAAAAATATACTCAAGTGAGAATTAAATAAAATCATAAAAGATAAGTCCTGGGTCTGGCAAGGGAGCCCGTAACTGTGCTCCAGAAAATGGATATTTTATATAAGGATGAACGTCAGTGGCTCGCACTGGGCAAGCCGGGGCCTGTCTGTGGGGTTGGACATAATTTTAGGTAACAGACAAAGACTGGCATTTCCATTTCTCTGCGGTACCCGGCCTGCCAAGTGGCATCGTTCCTGGTGCCTTTTGCCCTGCCTGGATTTAACTTTTGTGGGGAGGAGCCTTTGGACTTTACCGTGGGGTAAGAAGCCAGCCACGTAACCAAGAAGACCAGCTGCCCGTTGTAGGTCAGGGTCAGAATGTTGAAATACAGGAACCTCTTCTGTGTTTTTATAAAGTTGGCTCCGCGTAGGTTGTTCGGAGAAGGTGCTCACGTCCTGTCACGTAAGAAACATTCAGACCTGTAGAGAATTTTTGTGAGTGCACCGGAGCCAAACTGCAGACAGCTCCCAAAACACAGGATCTCAGCAGGTTGAGGGGGTGCTCCAGAGAATGGCAGCTTTGCCCCTTGTTTTATGCATTACAATCGAAAGGGGAGACGTAAGGGGGTCCCATGAAATCCATGGGTGACAGATGAGGCAGGCGGGAGAAAGCAAAGCGGGGAAACCTCGCTTGGGGTTGGGTAGAAAGTAAAGTGATGGATACATTTCTTTTACTCAGGTGGATGCAGGATAGTTAACAAACAATTAACTTGATAACAATGAGGGGATCTGTGGTCTCCCCAGAGCAGTGCCTGTGCCCTGAGGGGTCCGAAAAAAGGAAATTACTCTGCTATTCCAATGATATCGTAGATGCAAAAAGACAATAATAGACAGTTGAGGTCAGGAAGACTCAGGTCTAGGACCCGACGACCCTCCATAAACTGCTTTTAGTTTAAAGGGTTTTCGGGTCAGACCATCCTGGGTGGTTCCTTTAGGCCCCTGAGTTTGCAAGGCCGCCCCTAGGCCTCCCCTGAGCTCGTCCGGTTATAGCATGTGGCCCCCTTTGCGTCCATAGTACGTGGCTCCTGAACGTCCACTCTTCTTGAAATGCGTTTTCTAAACACACATGGTGAGTAAGCAGATTAAAGGAATTCCTGTCACGGAGTTTAATTTCCAACACCTTCCTGTTCAGACTCTTATCAGCTTCCCAGATACCATGAGGCGTATCTGGCCGGTCACATTTTTACTTACTTTGTGTTAAATGACAATTACATTTTTAAATTTTTTTATCGAATGTATCGGGGTGACACTGGTGAATAAAATTATATAGGTTTCAGGGGACAGTTCTATAATCCATCGTCTGTATATTGTATTGTGTGTTCACCACCCCAAGTCAAGTCTCCTTCCATCACCATGTATCCCCCCTGGACCCTCTTCTACCTCCCCCCAAGCCCTCCCACACCTCCCACAACCACCACACGGTTGTCTGTGTCCATGAGTTCTCTCTCTTTTCAGGGTCCCTACTCTTTAAAGATGAGGACCCCCCCAATTCTACCTAGTGATGCATCAGTAGTTGATTCTTGTATGTGCCCTGACCGGGAATCGAACCCACAACCTTGGTATATCAGGGTGATGCCCTAACCAACTGAGCTGCCTGGCTACAGCACTTGGCTTTTTTTTTTTAAACCCATCAATATTTCCCCTACTGGGAATTAAACAGACATTTCCGACTCTGCTTGGACTACTTAAGAATGTATCTGAAGTGACGGTTGCAGGCCGGATATGAGTTACTATTCCCAGTAACATAATATTTTCAGGTGCAAAATAACTACAGTTTCCCAAGAAATGTACATATACTTTTAAAAAAACCATATATATCTATATTTGTTGATTTTAGAAAGGGGAAGGGACAGGGGGAGAGAGAGAAACATTAATGATGAGAGTCATTGATCGGCGGCCTCCTGCACGCCCCCTACTGGGGACCGAACCCGAAACACCAGCATGTGCCCTGAACAGGAATCGAACCAGTAACCTCCTGGTTCATAAGTCGATGCTCAACCACTGAGCCACGCCAGCCGGGCCAAAAATGTATACACACTTTTAACAGCTGATAGCTCAATGGGTGTTTCTTTCTTTTTAAATTTAACCCATTGGAATGAATAACTATTCAAAATGTGTATATATATATGTATAATTTTGTGGGGGACACCCTATATAGTCTCTAAAATTAAAATTTAAAAAATAGGAAAAGCAGTGGCCTTGTCTTTGGGTGTGGACTCTCCTGGAGAAACCTTTATCTAGACCCTGATGGTGAAAATAAAGTGGATGTGGGGCTTGCATTAGCATCCTGTGGCTGCCATAAGCGGGGACCACAATTTAGGGGCTTAAAACTACAGAAATTCACCCCTCCCCCATCCCATCTTGAGACCAGGAGTCTGAGATCCAGGGGTCCCAGGGCCGTGCTCCCTCTGGAGGCTCCAGGGAGGGTCCTTCCTGCCTCTTCCAGCTCCTGGGGCTCCAGGCGTCCCCGGGCTGGTGGCCACATCCCTCCCGTCTCAATGTGCCTTCTCCTCTGTGTCTGTGTCTCCTCTTTGGGGCCTTATAAAGACCCTGTCCTTGGATGAAGGGCCACCCTGACCCAGGACGACCTTGTCCCAGATCCTTCCCTTAATCACATCTGCAAAGAACCATTTACAAATAATATCCCATTTTTGGTACCGGGGATTAAGACTAAATCCTTTGTATCCTGTGGTCGTGATTCTGTTACTTTGTTGCATGTGTCAGAACAAACTGCTCCAAACCAGCGGCTCAAAACAACATAAATGTATCCTGTTCCAGATCTGGAGACCAGACGTCTGAGATCCAGGTGTCCCCTGTCTGAGCTCCCTCTGGAGGCTCCAAGGGAGGGTCCTTCCCGTCCCTGGGCTGGTGGCCGCCTCCCTCCCTCAGTGTCTGTGTCTCTCCTTTGCTGAGTTTTGGGAGGGGCACTGTTTGTTATTGAACCCCCCCCCCTTCCTCAGTGCCATTTAAGAAAACTCAGCTGCCCTTTCAGGCATCCTGGCCTTGATTGGAGACCCAAAGGGTTAGGGCATACGGGCCTGAGCACACAAAGGGACCCCCAGGGTCTGGCTCCCGGGTCATCCAAACATCCTGGCCGACAGCAGACAAACCTTGGATGTCTGTGCTCAGGCGTGAATGCCGTCCGTGGGCGTTTTCAGACATTCCAGGATCGAGAAATCCATGATTGTCCCAATATGCTTCCCCATCATGGGTGGGCCGGAGATAAAAGTGGAGTGCAGCCCTCACTGGTGTGGCTCAGTGGTTAGAGCGTTGGTCTGGGCACCCAAGGGTCCCAGGTTCGAATCCCAATCAAGGGCATGTACCTGGGTTGCAGGTTCTATTTCCAGCTGCGGTCATGGGGGAAGCACGCTATCGATATTTCTCATGTCAGTGTTTCTCTCTGTCTCTCTCTCTCTCTCTCTCCCCCCATCCCTCCCTCCCTTCCACTCTCTCCAAATCAATGGGGAGAAAAAAATCCTCAGGTGAGAATTAACAAAGACAAGAAATAAAGTACATTCCAACTGGCGTCATTTTAAACATAAAGTTTGGAAAATTTTTAATGCCCCTTAAAGCCAACTGGAGGACCTCTTGGCCCAAAGGAAGATGGTTTTTTGTTTTGTTTTGTTTTTTGGGGTGCATTTGAGCAAACTCAGGCGGCCTGAGACGCACGCCCGCGCAGATGTACCTTATTTAAAACGAGGTGCCCGGTGGTTGCAGGCTCCTGGCCTGGAGGGTGCTTGTGAATACAGTTTCCCCGAAAACCCGGCTGGTGCTGGGTTGCTGGACCTCGGAAAGCAGCAGCCAGCCGATATGAGGAAAGATCTGTAATGACCACAAACACATTCAAAGGAACGCGCGTCCTGGGAGGCGAGGAGTTGCCAGGTGCATAAAGCTCACCTTGACCCAAGCGTGTCCAACGCTCCCTCTGTTTGGCCAAATCCACGGCGCTTGAAGAGGCCTCCAGCCGCGCGCGGGGTCCCCAGGTCCTTTGCCTCCAAGCCGAGCTGCTTTGGCACTTGTGCGCTCTGTGCCGCGCGCCGGGGGGGCCCCCTTCTCACGCTCTGTTTGTGTTGGTGCTTCTCAGCAGGTGGTCACGCATGAGAGGAGGCCCTGGTGGCGCAGACGATGGAGAATAAAAATCCCGACAGCTCCCCCACGACCACGACGCCCACGACCACGGACCTCAAAGACCTCAAGCTCGTGGCCCACCCGCGCGCCAAGAGCAAGGTGTGGAAATACTTCGGCTTCGACACGAACGCGGAGGGGTGCATCTTGCAGTGGAAAAAGATATATTGTCGCATCTGCATGGCGCAGATCGCCTACTCCGGCAACACCTCCAACCTGTCCTATCACCTGGAGAAGAACCACCCGGATGAGTTCTGCGAGCTGGTCAAGAGCAACACGGAGCAGATGCGCGAAGCTTTCGCCACCGCCTTCTCCAAGCTCAAGCCCGAGACCTTGCAGCTGACCCCTCAGGACAAGAGACAGCAGGAACTCACGGCCGCTGTGCTCGCGCTCATCTCCGAGGGGCTGTACCCCGCGTCCATCGTGGATGAACCCACATTCCGGGCGCTGCTGAGGACCGCGGACCCCTGGTACGAGCTGCCGGGGAGGAAGTTTTTCTGCGCCAAGGCCATCCCCGAGCGGTACAGCGCTGTCCGCGAGGCGGTGCTCAAAGAGCTCGCGGAGGCCCCCTGGTGCGGCATCTCCACCGACCTGTGGAAGAGCCACACCCAAAACCGGACCTATGTCACGCTGGCTGCGCACTTCCTCGGTGGAGGGGGCGCGGGGTCTCCCAGCTCCCTGTCCTCGGGCTACGGCTACCGGTGCCTGAAGACGTTCGAGGTGCCGGATGAAAACGCAGCGGAGACCATTACGCGCGTCCTGTACGAGGCGTTCATCCAATGGGGCATCAGCGCCAAGGTGTCCGGGGCCACCACGGACTGCGGCAAGGACGTGGCCAAGGCGTGCGCCCTGCTGGACATCCCCGTGCAGATGCGGTGCCTGGGGCGCACGTTCGACGCGGGCATCCAGCAGGCGTTCCGGCTGCCCAAGCTGGGCGCGCTGCTGGCGCGGTGCCGCCGCCTGGTCGAGTATTTCCAACACTCCCCCGTGGCCAGGTACATGCTCTACGAGAAACAGAAGCAGCAGCGGCAGCCCAACTGCATGCTGGTCAGCGACCGCGTGTCCTGGTGGGGCACCACCCTGGCCATGCTGCAGAGGCTCCGGGAACAGCAGTTCTCCGTGGCCGGGGTGCTGGTGGAAGATACCAACAACCACCACCTGATGCTGGAGGCCTCCGAGTGGGCCACCATCGGGGGGCTGGTGGACCTCCTGCAGCCCTTCAAGCAGGTGGCGGAGATGCTATCCGCCTCCAAGCACCCCACCATCAGCATGGTGAAGCCGCTGCTCCATATGCTCCTGAGCACCACGCTCAACATCAAGGAGACGGACCCCAAGGAGATCAGCATGGCGAAAGAACTCATCGCCAAGGAGCTCGCCAGCACCTACCAGGAGACGCCCGAGATCGATATGTTTCTCAACGTGGCCACCTTCCTGGACCCGCGCTACAAGAAGCTGCCGTTCCTGTCCGCCTTGGAGAGACAGCAGGTGGAGAACAGGGTGCTGGAGGAAGCCAAGGGGCTCTTGGAGAAAGCCAAGGACGGCGCCTACCGCGCGCCTGAGGACCACATGTACGGGCTGCCCGAGGAGCCCCCCGAAAAGAAGCCGGCCTTGACCTCCACGCCCCCGCCGCCCCCCGCGAGCGTGATCAACAGCATGCTGGCGGAGATTTTCTGCCAGACCGGGGGCGCAGAAGACCAGGAGGAGTGGCACGCGCAGGTGCTGGAGGAGCTGAGCAACTTCAAATCCCAGAAGGTGCTGGGGCTCAACGAGGACCCTCTGAAATGGTGGTGCGACCGCCAGGCGCTGTTCCCGGTGCTGCCCAAGGTCCTGCAGAAATACTGGTGCGTGGCGGCCACGTGCGTCCCGCCCGAGCGCCTCTTCGGGTCGGCGGCCACCGTGGTCAGCGCCAAACGGCACCGCCTGGCCCCGGCGCACGTGGACCAGCAGGTGTTTCTGTACGAGAACAGCCGCGCCGGGGCAGAGCCCGAGCCCGAAGACGACGATGAGGGCGAGTGGGATCTGGACCACGAGCAGGTGCTCACCTTCGGGGAGGCCGTGCACAGCGGTTTCTTTGGGGTCAGGGACAGCGGCTTCGTGTAGCTGGGGGGACCCCGCGGATGCGGTGTCAGGGTGGGCGCCGCTGTAAATACAGACCCCGCGGTTGGTTGTGACAAAAACGGGGACATGCGGACCCCGCCGGTGCCATCCCATGAACCAGGAGGGCACCAGTTGGGTTCCCGGTCAGGGCGCGTGCGGGGCTGTGCGCTTGACTCCCGACTAGGGGCGCGCAGGAGGCAGCCGGCCCATGACTCTCTCATCAGTGTTTCTCTCTCTCTCAAAACCAATAAAAACATTTAAAAAAATAAATACATGGTAGTCATTTATAGTATCGATTACAACGCCCGCAACTGTTTCCAAGTTCGCGGCGCCGCAACTGTTTCNAAAAAAAATAAATACATGGTAGTCATTTATAGTATGGATTACAACGCCCGCAACTGTTTCCAAGTTCGCGGCGCCGCAACTGTTTCCAAGTTCGCGGCGCCGCAACTGTTTCCAAGTTAGCGGCGCCGCAACTGTTTCCAAGTTAGCAGCACCGCCGTCGTCATTGTTGAATTAATCTGGGTGACACTGGTTCGTAAAGTGACCCAGGTTTCAGGGATACGATGGTATAATCCATCATCTGTATGCTGTCTTGTGTGTTCACCACCCCAAGGCAAGTCTCCTTCCATCGCCATGGGTCCCCCCTTTACCTTCCGACCTGCCCCACCGTCTTTAGGGTCGCCCTCCCCTCCCTGAGAGTGTCTGTGTTTTTCGATGCTGTGTGTCCAAGCCGGCATTCTCTGCTGGGTTTTATCTCCCTTCTCTGCGGAAGTGTCGTCTTTATTTAACCGCTTTCCTAGCGGTCCCCAGAGGCGAAGAAAAGTACTGAGGACAACTTCCCGATGGGTCGTCCGTGAGTGTTTTTAAGCAAAGGGGCCAATGGTCCAAAGCTGGACATCAGGGCCATCCAGGCCCCTCTCATTCTTCAGCATGGGGCATGTTTTGCCCTGCGTTGTGTGCATAGAAGTTCGGGGGACATGAATGCTGGGGACCAGGGTGCTCCTCGAATCCCAGTCCGATCGCCGCTTCTTTTGTGCCAAAGTCTCTGTCACAGGTGGATAGATTCTAGTGATGCATTTCCTTCATGGGCACCGTGATCCAACTGTGATCTGGGGGGGGGGTTCTTCTCGGAGGGGTCTCGGCCCTGGAGATTGTGGGGTCCCTCCCACCAGGGTTGTGTGTTGTTCTATGAAATCAGGCCCCAGGCCCTGGCCCGTGTGGTTCAGTGGACAGAGCATCGGCCCTGCACTGAAGGGCCACAGGTTCAATTCCTGGTTATAAAGGCACATACCTGGGTTGCTGGTTCCAGCCCCGGCCCCCGTTGGGGTGCGTGCAGGAGGCAACCAACCCATGTGTCTCTCTCACATGGATGTTTTTCTCTCTCTCTGTCTCCCCCTCACTCTGTCTAGAAATCAATGGAAAAAAATACCCACAGGTGAGGATTGTCACACACACACACACACGAGTTTATTTGCCACTTTTATCGTAGGCTGACGCTTCTAGGGTTAGGTTATTTTGAGAGAGAGACAGAAGGGCCGGACAGCTTGGGGCAGAACTTGTACGAATGATTCCCACCGGCCAGTCCTAAGCCTGCTCACCCTGTCTCCTCTGTTCTTTCCAGCAGAAACCCCAGTAAACGATCTTGTCTATGGTTCCCCAGCTCCCTGGTGCTGCCTCGTGTGACCCCGAGTGTCCTCGGGTGCCCCCTCCCCTGGGAAGCACCTACCTTTTCATTGGTACTCATTTCTGATCTGTTCCTTGAATAACCCTTGAATAATAATAAATAATAAAACTACAATTTAACAGACACACACAGGGTGTCCCCACAGATGCGTACGCACTTTGAATGATTATAAAATCCGTGTTTACGGACACAAGGTTCATTTTCAGAATTTAAAAGAACTACAGAAATGAATAATTTTTTTTTTTTTTGTCAATGCCTGTTTTCAAACGGACGACCGTTCTAGTCCAGGCCCTGCCGATACCACAAAGCAGTGGAACCGCCAACATCGAGGATCATTTCGTGCAGTATTTCTGCGCCCTCAATATGCCAGCGGTTGCCGGTTTTGTGCCGTAAACTTTTTATTTTTTATGCGTCCCCATAAAAAAAAAAAAAAAANAAAAAAAAAAAAAAAAAAAAGCCTAGGGACGTTTTTGAGATAAATTTCCTTTGTTCAAAGCTTAGTCTGGCTTCACCCATTATTTCAAACCCATTAAACTTGAAAGGGGGTGAGAATTAAGTTATTAGCTGTTAAAATACACATTTTTAACACATTTTATACACATTTTCAATAATTATAAAGGCAGTGTTTGTACTTCAACTGCGCTTTCAAGCTTCCAATAGCATTTTAAGATGGGTTTTCTTGGTCCTACGCTTAGTTTGGCTGAAAAGAAACGTCAGCTGAGCTATATCAGCTGTTAAAGCGTGTGCACGTTTTGGGGACACCCTTCATGTGTTACTGCCCAGGAGGGTGCACCCAGGGGTCTCGCCCATGGCTACAAACAGCATACGTTCCTCGGACCTCTCTGCAAATCATCTTGGCTGCGTTTTCTAGCATATGCTTCCAAAGACACCAGCAGGGTGGGGAATGACTTTATTGGGGGGTCTTCCTCCTGGCTGTGATCACTCAGGGGCTCACTGATGGTATATTCACGCCTCCCGAGCAGGCGCCAGCCCCAGAGGAGCCGCAAATATGGATGCGCAGCTGCTGTTGGCATCCTGTACCCTCTAGAGGCGAATCTGCACCAACGTGTCCTCTTCTGCTCCTAGACCTCACTCTGTGTTTTTTTTTATGTGTGTGTGTGTTTTGTTTTCTTCCTTCCACAGTCTTCCCCCGGCAGCCCGGCCGCGTTGCTATAGTGACAGGAGGCATAGAGGGAATCGGCTATGCTACCTCCAAGCACCTGGCGAGACTGGGCATGCACGTGATCCTAGGTGATGTTTTTCTACACTGGCTTGTATTTTTGCAGCTGATGCGAGACGCACGGTCGTCTGCTCATACGTGGATGTGAACATTGATTTGCTTCGATATGAAACAGATGCCGGGGACGTTAAGGACTGATAGTGGAAAACTGAAAAGGGCGGGAAATGTGTTACTTGTTTGGACATGAATATGGGTTTTGTTTGTTTTATTTTTTAATATATATTTTTATTATTGATTTCAGAGAGAGGAAGGGAGAGGGAGAGAGAGATCGAAACATCAATGATGAGAGAGTCATGGATCAGCTGCCTCCTGACCACCCCCTACGGGGGATCAAGCCCACAACCCGGGCATGGGCCCTGACCAAGAATCGAACCAGTGACCTCCTGGTTCATTGGTCGACGCTCAACCACTGAGAGCTGGATTTTCCATTTTCTGGTCCTTAACATCTTGTGGTGTCCAATTGTGCAAACTAAAATCTCTAACATTATAAGCCAGTTATGTGGAAATGCAGATATAAAAAAACACATGAGGAAAACACAAACTGGCCACATAATCATATACATGAAATGTTTCAACAACAAATTTAGTAACTGCTATGGTTTGGAACTATGATGATCTTAAACTATATTTGAAGGTATCTTTGACAGCTGAAATGTCTTGTATTTTGGATTAAGTCATGAGGAGGTCTGGTTGGGTGAGAACGTGAGGAAGTCTGGTTGGGCTGGATCATGAAGAGGTTCTGGTTGGGTTAGACTAGGAGGAGGTCTGTTCGGGTTTGATCATGAGAAAGTTGGGTTGGGTGAGATCATGAGGAGGTCTGGTTGGGTTAGACCAGGAGGAGGTCTGGTCTGGTTGGGTTGGGTCATGAGCAGGTCTGGTTGGGTTAGATCATGAAGAGGTCTGGTTGGGTTAGACCAGGAGGAGATCTGCTCTGGTTTGATCATGAGAAAGTTGGGTTGGGTGAGATCATGAGGTCTGGTTGGGTTAGACCATGAGCAGGTCTGATTGGATTGGATCATGAGGAGGTTCTGGTTAGGTTAGACTATGAGGAGGTCTGGTTGGGTTGGATCATGAGGAGGTCTGGTTGGGTTAGACTATGAGGAGGTCTGGTTGGGTTGGATTATGAGGAGGTTCTGGTTAGGTTAGACTATGAGGAGGTCTGGTTGGGTTGGATCATGAGCAGGTCTGGTTGGGTTAGACTACATGGGAGGACATGTAGTTGAGTGAGGCTTATGTACTAGAGACACCATGTAGTAAGCACATATGAGCAAGCATGTGTCACCCATCAGAGCAAGGACTGGAACCCTGATGGTCATGCCTCATTGAGGTGATGTTAGTTGAACATTAGGACCAGCACCTAATGTTTTTTATTTCTTGACTTAAGCAGAGAGTTAACACCACGTCCTCAACTCCTCTCTGTCTCCTTTCTCACAGACTCTTATTCCTGTGTTTAATCTTTCATGTGGTTCACATTTTGACCCTCCCCCTCAATGCAATCAAGAATGGAACCTTCCCTCCTCCATGTGACTTTGAGGGTTTAATTGGATATATGCTGAGGGGGGAACAATTTTTCATTTTGCCTGACAGTTTGATGGAAGGTCGTTTAATGGAACATTATCATTGGACACGGTGCCTTTTTATATCAAGTGTGAAGTAAGAGATGGCTACATTCAATTTCAAATGGTTTCATCCTGAATCCATTAATATTTAAGGAATAATCAATTACTTGTTAAAGAATTGAAATGACAATCTGGGACCCAACTCAGGCAAACTAATGTTGCTGTGAGTACATCAATTATTCAATTTCCTATCTGTTCCCAAAATCTTAACCCTTTTACCAAGATATTTTTTTAGGTAGTGGACCCATCTTTTTAATATGTTTTATTAATTGATTTTTTTTTAGAGAGGGAGGAAGGGAGAGAGAGAAACATCAATGATAAGAGAGAGTCATCGATCGGCTGCCTCCTGCACGCCCCCTACTGGAGATCGAGCCTGAAACCCTGGCATGTGCCCTGACTGGGAATTGAACCATGACCTCCAGGTTCATAGGTCGACGCTGAACCATTGAGCCACCCCGGCCTGGCTCTTTTTTTCCGAAATGGCAGAGTCCTGTTTTGCAACTCATGGTACAAGCCATATTTCTTGAAAATATCAGTACATCTAGTTGAAATATAGATTTACATGCACTTCCATAAGTGATTGCCCTCACTTTATTTTTTTTTTTATGGAAGCCTTCAACAGAAGGATAAATCTCAGAGGGAAGGAGAGAGGGGGCGGGAAGAGATTAACCAAAAGGACTTACATGCATCTGTGCATAACCCATGGACACAGACCATAGTGTGGGGAAGGCCTGGGGAGAGGGAGGGGATGGGAGTGGGGAGGGGGGTCAATGGAAAAAATGGGGCATCTGTAATACTCTCAATAATAAAGATACATTCAAAATATAAACAAAAAATAAAATGAGCCCTAGCCGGTTTGGCTCAGTGGTTAGAGTGTTGGCCTGGGTACTAAAGGGTCTGGGTTCGATTCTGGTCAAGGGCATGTACCTTGGTTTCAGGCTCCATTCCCTGCCCCGGTCGGGGCACATGGGGGAGGCAACCAATCAATGTGTCTCTCTCACATCGATGTGTCTGTCTCTCTCCTTCCCTTCCACGCTCTCTGAAAAGCAATGGAAAAAATATCCTCAGGTAAGGCTTAAAAAAATAGTATGAAATGAAATGAAATAATGATGAATAGAATAATAGAATAGAATAGAATAGAATAGAATAGAATAGAATAATAGAATAATAGAATAGAAAATATAAAACAGTAAGGTAAAATAATATAAAATAATACTAAATAAAATATTAAAATATAAAATAAAATAGTAAAAAATAAAATAAAAGTAAAATATTAAATAAAATGTTAAATAAAATAAAAGTAAAATATTAAATAAAAATTAAATGAAATGAAAATTAAAATAAATAAAATAAAATAAAATGGTGCACTAATTGTTTTATTTTTTTCTTTTAGCTGCAAATGATATAGCAAGAGGCCAAGCAGCTGTGAGGATGATACAGGAGGAGACTTTGAATGATAAAGGTACTGACTGCTCTCTGGCCCACTGGCTGTGTTTGGGATTTTCTGAGTGCTGGTCAAACCTGAGCTGCTGACCCCCTGACATTGGGGGTGTTGGGTGCGGCCTTAGGGGGTCGGGTGGTGTATCTGCTTCTTGCACTTTTCCTTGGGGGATTTTTTTTGCACATTTTATGAAATCTGAATGAATTTTTTTAAAAATAATGATCGCTTAAGAGATAACTCACCTGGACTGGCTTGTGTTACAAGGAACAGAGGTTGGTTTGGGGCCGTCTATGGCTGCTCAAAACGTCTCAGTGCTTTTAACAAGGATGTCAGGTGTGGCCCTTATTCACGGGAAGGCCGAATGTTCGAGAAGGCCTTGGTTAAAAAGAGCTGGTGGCTTCCGTTGTGTCTGTTGAGATTCGGGTTTCGGGGCAGAAAGCGGTGGGTTAAATTTAGGGACATGTCTTTGTCAGTTTCTCTGTTCTGGGGAGGGGGCCTCTGGGGAGCTCCGACCAAGGCGATGACTTGTGATCCTTTTTGGGAACAGGCGTGTCCCACGTGTTACAGCAGCTGTGTCTTTCTGAAGGCATGGAAGGAGGGTCACAGCACTTTCCGAAAATTGAATCTGCTGTTCCAGCTCTCACCTTGCGTCAGAAAAGGCTCCTCATGTCCGAGGGATTTAATGATCCCTTTTTCAGCTTTGCGAGCAGTAGCAAGGTGAATTCCCCGAGAGAGGGGACGGTCTGCCTCGTTGCCTCGGCCCCTCGGTCCACGCCTATAGGATTTGTAAAAGAAAAATCCCATAAGGAATATGTTTCTCACGTTGCCTGCAACACTCTGTTTCCCCCGCCAACCCTTTATGGAATATTTGCACTCCCCACAAACGTCGGCGGTCATTTATTTATTTTTTTTTAAACATGTTTTTATTGATTTCAGAGAGAGGAAGGGAAAGGAAGAGGGAGGTAGAAATATCAATGATGAGAGAGTCATGGATCGACTGCCTTCTGCACACCCCATACTGGGGGAATCGAGCCCGCAACCCGGGCATGTGCCCTGATCGGGAATTGAACCAGTGACCTCCTGGTTCATAGGTTGACGCTCAACCACTGAGCTGCACTGGCTGGGGCTATTGGCAGTCGTTCTGCTTTCATGTTGTTTTTTTAATTTGTGGGGGTAGAATTGGTGCAGGGGAAATTCATTTTGATCGGTTCTTTTGAACACATCTCAAGCAAAAAAATATATATATTTTATAAATATACATATATATAAATATTTATATATATATACTTTATATATATGTATATTTACACGGTTCGATTCTCAATCAGGGCACATGCCCGGGTTTGGGGCTACATCCCGAGTAAGGGGCATGCAGGAGGCATCCGATCAATGACTCTCTCATCACTGATGTTGCTATCTCTCTCTGAAACAATAAAGACATATTTAAAAAACAAAACAAGACTGGCAACAGTCGACGCGTTGAGGGTGCACAAATACCAAATGAAATGCTTCTTGACGTTTGCGATTCCATTGCTTCGTGTTATCAGTGGTGCCTTGACCAGAATGGTCATCAGTTTGAAAACAGGCATTGACCAAAAAAAAAAAATAAAATAAAATAATTATTCATTTCTGTAGATTTTAAAAATTTTGAAAATGAACTCTATGTTAATAGACACTGGCTTTATATTATTCAAAGTGTGTACACATTTTTGGGGGACATTCTATATTTCTGTTTCAGTGATTTGTAAGTTTTGGTTGAGAGGCTTCTCTGTGCCCAGGGTGAGGTAGAGGGATCACTATGTAGTATTCATTCACCTGGCAGGTATGGCCAGGCCTGCTGTTCTCTATATTTTTATTGTTTAAAAAAAATTGCTTGGCCCAGCTGGGCGGGGCTCAGCGGTTGAGTGTCGACCTAGGATCCAGGTGATTGGGGTTCGATTCCTGGTCAGGACACATGCCCGGGTTGTGGGCTTGATCAATGACTCTCATCATTGATGTTTCTAACTTTCTCTCCCTCTCCTTTCCTCTCTCTGAAATCAATAAAGACATATTTTTTTTAAAAAATCTTAAAAAAAAAATTTAAAAAATTGCTCGACTTCAATTTTTAGCACCGTTTCTAGGTGTGCAGAAAACTGAGCAGAAAATAACAGCAAATTTCCGTACACCTGCTCCCTACCCCACAGTTTTCCGCAGTATTAGCTACAGTTGAAAACTCACTGGTTACGTTTGATGACTCATTAGTTACAAAGATGAACGCACGTGGATACATTGTTATGAACCAAGATCCGCAGTTTACATTAGTGTTCGCTCTTGGTGTTGTGCATCCTCTCGTTTTGGGCAAATGTATCATGACCTGTAGTCACAATTATAGTATCCTACAGAGTGGTTTCTCGGCCCTAAACATCCTCTGTGCTCCATTTCCATTCTTCGCTCCTCCCAACCCATGGCGGCCAGTGATCTTTTTACAGTCTCCATAGTTTTGTCTTTCCTGGAATATTTTGTCATACGTTGGAATCACAGCGTGTAGCGTCTTCTTTCACGTAATAATATGCACATAAGCTTCCTCCACGTCTTTTCATGGCTCGATAGCTCATTTCTTTAAGGACCAAGGGTTAGGATTAGAGTCAGCGTTAGTGTTTAGGGTTACAGGTCAGGATTAGGGTCAGGGTCAGAGTTAGAGGTTAGGGTTAGGGTTAGGGTGCAGGGTTAGGGTTTATGGCCAGAGTTTAGGGTCATGATGAGGTGTTAGGGTTTAGCACTAACTTTAGCCTTAGGGTTAGGTGTTCCTGTCGGGGTCAGAGTCAGGGTTAAAGCTTGGAATATAGGGTTAGGTTTAGGTTTGGGGTTAAGCGTTCAGAGTTAGAGTTAGGGTTCAGGATTCAGGTCAGGGTCTGCTGGGTCAGTGTTAAGTTTAGGGTCAGAGTCTGGTTTAGGATTAGGGTTTAGGGTCAGAGTTGAGGTTGGAATCAGGGTTAGAGTCAGGGTCCCTGTTAGGTTTAGGGTCAGGTTTAGGGTTAGAGTTAGATTTAGAGTCAAGGTGAGATCAGGGTTAGGCTTAAGCTTAGGGTTAGAGCTTGGATGTTAGAGGTTATGGTTATGGTTAGGGTCAGGGTTAGGGTTAGAGCTTGAAAGTTAGAAGTCAAGGTTAGGGTTAGGGTTAGAGCTTGAAAGTTAGAAGTCAAGGTTAGGGTTAGGGTTAGAGCTTGGAAGTTAGAGGTCAGGGTTAGGGTTAGAGTTAGAGCTTGGAGCTTAGAGGTTAAAGTTAGGGTTAGGTTTAGACCTTGGAAGTTAGAGGTTAGAGTTTGGGTTAGAGTCAAGGTCAGGTCAGGGTCAGGGCTAGCACTTGGGGTTAGAGGGGCCCCCATCTGACTGCCAGACTACGGGGCTGGGGCCTCCCCCTTCCCACGAGTAGCTGTGGCCTGTCCCCTGCTCTGCACATTCAGCAGTTCAGGAACATTTCTCAGTTCCACCCACGTGGGTTGTTGTACAAGCTCATTACCAGGAAGATTATCGAGGGGGTTTAGCAACTCACATTTGTATGCTCTATTTAACAGATAAGAAATAATGAGTGTTGCTCAAAGAGAAAACAGATGGCTTTGTCAGCAGAGCGAGATATCTGTACCACAGCTGCTCTCTGGGTTCTGTCTGCAAAGGAGAACTCAGGGGTGAAACGCAGTGAGCCCCGCCGAAGCCACACCCGCCCCAAACACAGAGGCGCTGCCTGCAGGAAATGCAGGACCTGGGCAATGTGTACCCTTAGCTCCTTCCCAGCTGCATGTCCCGATGTGATTCTTGCCCCATTTTAAAACTCTCCCTTTATTCTGGGAATGCCTCTGTATTCTTCTGTGGCTTTTACGGTGACTAAGTACCACTAATAAAACTTGTTTCTGTTGTTTTTTTAGTTAACTGTCACCCAAGGATATACTTTTTTCCATTGGTTTTTAGAGAGAGTGGAAGGGAGGGCCGGGGAGAGAGTGAGAGAGAAACATTGATGTGAGAGAGACACATCGATTGTTTGCCTCCTGCACATGCCCCAACTGGGCCGGGGATTGAACCTGCAACCCAGGTACATGCCCTTGACCGGGAATCAAACCCGAGACCCTTCAATGCAGAGGCTGACGCTCTAACCACTGAGCCACACCAGCCAGGGCTCACATTCCTATTTGAAAGCTGCCCTTTTAAAGCATGTAGACCATCCGAATTCATAGCCAGTCGTGAAATATTGTATAAAAACTAGGAATGGAATATATCACATCCTGTGGAATACAGTGAAAATACAATTTATATTGCTCTACGTTCTTGAACTCATAACAGATGAAAGAAATAATTATGGCTGAGCACCCCGGGGGAATGAAATAAAAATTAGGATGTGGGATATGGAAGTAATAATATTGTGCAGAAATGAAATACCGAGTGGAACGAACAGAAGAGCTACAAAGAAAACCAGTTAATGGTTTCTTTAATAAAAAGAACAGAGAATAATTCATGAAGCAATTATTCACCTGTCATCACACATTTAGGAAAAGTAAGAACCAACTAGTGTGCCTTGGCACAAGCAAGAGGGAATACCATCTAATAAAAATATAATTTACATCTGGGCAAAAAGGAATTGTTTCTTGATTCCTAGCTAATATATTGGATGACCAGTTCCAAAAGGATGTCTCATCCCCACCCCTAAAAAAAAGAAAGGAATTTTCCTAAATAGGTGCAAATAAATCAGAGGTCACACAAAGATCAGTATCATGCGGAAATAGCAAAAGTCGGAACCATCCACCAAAAGGCTCCTGCCTATGATGGAGTTCTTAATACATTTCCCAAACCAATAAGGATAGTCTAGACCAGGAGTCCTCGACTTGTTTTTGTAAATAAAGTTTTATTGAAACGTGGCTCTACTCATTCATTCATTGTCTCTGGCTGTGTCTCTGCCTGAGGACAAGAGTTAAAGATGATGATGATGATGGCGGCGATGATAATGGTGACGATAATGATGGTGATGATGATGGTGATAGTGATGATGATGG